TTAAAAAAGAAAAAAAAATAGAAGAAAATAGAAGAAAATCCCGAACGAACGATAAAGTCCGAAAAAAAATTTAAGAAAGTATAGTGGTAAAATGAATAACCGTTTTGCTCTATTGAAGGTTAGGTATTGACATCTATAGTTTTTAAGAAAACTGTCAATGTAATCGGGCTCGTTAACAAATAACCATTGAATAATAAATCATATTTTTTATTTTCTTCTAATGACCAAAAATTCTGGATTCTAGCGAATTTTATTGGGTTAGATAAGCTTAACAAAAATTAATCAAATAATCACTAAGATCCCTTACAGTATGAGCATTTCGATTATTATGATAGTATTGAAATTTTTTATAAGAATTAATTATAACCGAACTTCAAATAACATGACAAATATCATGAACACAACGTGTTCATAAATATTTTCATACATACATACATTGTCATTCATTCACTCCTGGCTCACATCAGTTCGCATTTATTAGTTAAGTAGAAATATAGCCTTAAGTTGCACACACTTTTTTGTCAATGAACTCTTTTGTGTAACCTTTTGTGCACACCTAATGCAGTACAACTATTTCCTTGCATACTGGAATTCAATAACAATAAATTGTTAAATTACAACAACCACAAAACTTATGCCATTTGAAGACACCTGTTACTAACGTCTTATCTATCAATTCACAGTTGACTAAATTTCAATAAATATTTACACACTTTCACTTGGCAAACTTTTGAACAGGTGTTTATCACGTGAAACTTGGTAGAACAACAAAAGCGAATTATGATTTTACCCAGTAGACCGAAATTGCAGATATTAATGAAAATCAAATCTAGGATATTGTAGTCAAATTGCATAGATTTATGTTTCGATATTAAACATTAAATAGAAAAAGTAGAAATAAACGTATAGCAACGATAGATTGAACAGGATTATATACCATGTTCCTACCAAAAATTTGAAACGATTAGATTACACTTTATCTATTTCTTAAACTATAACGGCATGGTTACACCGTTGGAGATTTATATAACATGTATTTTTGATTAGCCGTACGAAGCAATGGCTTCTCTTTCTCCCCACAACTTTATTAGATCGGCTTCAGCAGCCTCACTCCACAATACTATCCTTTTTTGATGATATTTTCTGCCATTTTCACATATTTACCTAATATTTCTTTAATTTTTTGGTTTTTACTTTAGTTTTACTTTTGAAAGTCCGTTTTACTATCAAATTGATACACAAAAGTGCGACAAATTATTTAATGTTCTTGGGTTTATATCACAATATTTCGCCTAACAAAAATAAATATTTTAACTAATTTAATTTTCATTGCAACTAATATCTCTAATATATAGTGTAAAAAATATTTTAATTATTTTATCAAACTTTTGACCATAAACCAACAATACGAATACTCTATTTATTTTACAGTGTATATATTATTATTTTATATTTATATATTATATTTATCACCTAACTCTTAATATCCAAATCCATCTTTTACTACAACTTTTTTTCTCATTTTCATTTGCAATTTTTTTGCATTATTTAGTGCTGACTGGGTAGTCACTTTAAATTATTTGTATTTGTGTTTGCAACTTTTGACTTTGAAGGCTGAATTCATTGTCATTATAAACTTTATTTGAGCGACTTGAGCAAACTAATATGCGAAGTGCACTGATGACCATCGAAAATCAATTTGATGAATAGGCTGTCAAAAAGTTTGTCCTACAAGATATTTGAGTGATTGCAAAGGCTATTAACTTACGTAATAATTTATAGATGGATTTTTGTTTAAAATTTCTTTATTATTCGTTCTATATTTTTAAACTCATTTAAATAGCTAGTTAACAGGCTTAATTTAATTTAGGCTCCGACTGAACTGAGTTAAAATTTTTCACTTAATAACACTGGTATTATTTTTCTGTCAAACAAAGTTGTTTCTTAACTGAAGTTTGAAAAATGAATATTAGATGGTGTTTGATAAAGAGTCAATTACTTAAAATATAGGATGAATTAACAAATAGAATTGCAGTGAATTGCAATTTGTCTCCAGAAGCATAAAATAAAAATAAGAAGAAATATTTTAAAGTTTTTTAAGCTGGTGGAAAAGAGGTCACACAAAAATATTATTAACATTTAAGATAACTATTAGTAACTAACTAATGTAGAAATACTCTTTGAAATACTCAATGCTTATTACATAAATATCAATCAGTAATGCAAAAAATAATTGTTTCTGTTTTATAAGGCACATATTTCTTTATTGAGATCGAAGAAATGATTTCAAATAATAATAATTTTATTTAATATTTTGTTTTTTTGAATTTATGACTTCTACTCACCACTTTATAACTTTATGTTTACTCAGAAGATGATTATTTGTATGCTAGAATGAAAAATAAAAAAGTTTATTGCAACAAGATTTATATTTTTAGCAGTTGTGATAAATTTTTGCTTTTATTTATTTTATTTAAACGATAAATAAACTATCACCTAAATTAAAAATTAATTTTTTTTTATAGAAATTATAGAAATATATCTGACCCTTGTGTGAAATTTGAAATTTATTTTTTCTTCAATTCAGCTTTCGATAAATTATTTGTCTGGGAATAACAAGTTCAATCAGCTCCAACAGTTTATTTTTAAATTTTTTTTTCCAAAACTACGTTTTTAATTGAGTGATTCATTGAAGAAAATGATCTGATTACTATCAAAATGTTCGTCATGTTCCTTATATAGTTCCCTTTAAGATAAGATAAATAAATGAGGATTGCTGCGTATTTTCTTAAGTTTGTATAATAATTGTATTATTATGTAAGCTTTTATAAAAAAAAAAAAAAAAAAAAAAATGAGGATTGTATAGCGACCTAAGGTCTATTGTGCCCTCTTCTAAATCAAAAAGGCTCATATAGTCCTAGCATATTCATAAAGTCCTAGCATATTGATACTGCTAAGTGCTAGTGAGGCGATGTGAATCCTCTTTGGAAACATTGGTCCAAGGGCCTCTATCCTGCGTCTGCAGACTGCTTTCCTGTCAATTAGCAGGAATTTCGGAGTTTCAGGCTTCCTATCGCAGTACCGGCAGTTTGCACAAGGAGCTAGCGATGTTGGAAGATACAGTAGATTTTTTTTAATTACCAATAATTGATTTGTTTTTACATGGAAACCGATAAAAAAATACAGATTTTTTCCCGTAAGCCGCATTTTGAGAATTTAGTTTGTTATACATATGTTATAATAATTCGTTTAAATTATACCAAATTATTTATTATTTATTCATCCCAATTTTATATCGACATTGTAAAAATGTTTTTGTTTTATCGATTTTTGCTTTGAGACTTTTTTATCAATTGGCAACATTCCTCAAAGTAAGCTTCAATTCAAGCTTTTTTTAAGTTTTATTAATTAACTAAATCATATTGTTTCTTAGTTTCATAATTTGGGTGTTTGCATTTAAACAATGTGTAACAAGTGGTATCATCTTTGTGTTAAAATAACGCAGCTTTGCACCAAACAATTCTAACACGTACGTTTAGTTTTCACTGTGCTGTCGCTCTATACTTACTTTCACAAAAAAAAAAACACAATTCATATATGTACATACATATCGTGTTCATAGTATATCTATATTACATTCACGAAAATAGCTCAAGAACAAAAACTTCTTTAATATAAACATTTTAAACTTCCCATTTTTATATTAAAATTGAAAATATTTTTGTGTGCAGAAATGCACTCAACCAGTCACGGACAGACGCATGAACTGTTGAACTCGTTACCTTAACTGCCGGCTTGTTTGACAGACTACACGTTGTTTTTGTATATGCCTTTCGGGAGTTCAGTTTTATTATGGATTGTGTAAGCGCCTAAAAGTGAGCCAACGGTTTATTAATTACAACATGCCGTTTAGCGTGCATGTGAGAATTTCTATTTAAACACACATGCATAAATACATACACATATGCATGTGCAGAATGGTGAATGGTTAGGCAGAATATTAAAAAATAACTTTCGACTCAAACGATATATTATTAGGGTGGTCAATCTTAATGATTTGCTTTTTCATTTAATGAAGGAAGTTTACGTGTGAAGCTTTCAACTGCAAGTAGATATTTCCTTTGAAACATTTTTATTAATAACATTAGCTGGAGAAATTAATTTTTGGACTAAAATTCTTTAAATAATTGAGCTGAAGCTGAAGTTGTGGAACATCGATTATGAAATCTCAAAGGAATATTCAGAAGAGATTTTAATTGATCTGTTTACCGTTTACGTAGTTCACATTTATGTGGCCTTCAGCTCATTCCTCAACAAAAGACCATCACCAAGCGCGAACTGTTACTGTGTGTCTAAATTTGGATTCGAAAACTGCGACTTCAGAATCAAAATAAATCTATCTTCGAAAGCCAATACAAGTTTTAACTCAAATATTTAAACATCTTATACACTTTGCCACCTAAGTCCAAAAGAAATGAGCAAGCTACGGTAAAAAATGGATATGTGATCAAATTTGATCCGGAATGACAAAAACGTATTCACGTATTTTTGTGCTCCCACAAACAAAAGCAGTCAAATTTTAATTAAATTTTCAATACACTTGTCATAAACCTCAATTGAGATGGACTGCAGTGACTTTAGCGAATGACTGTTGCTTCTATAGACTCATAACCCGAAGCTGATTTTCATTTATGAAACAAAAAAGTTTGACCAAAACGGAAACAGAAAAATGTCTCGTTTCGTGTTTGGCAAAAAGTCAGTCCCAATCAAGCTAGAATGTATCGGTGAATTACTGTGATGAAAATCCATGAATTTTCTGCTCACAAATCCGATCGTTTACCAAGAATTGCTTCACGTAGAGACCTCAAAACTGTCAAATTCTAGCCAGTTGTTGATCGTTTGAGAATGTGGAATGAATTCATGGTGCAGCACATCACAAAAATCAACAAAAAACATATACATCATGTTGATTTTTAACCAATATAAAGTATTAACAAAAATTTTAACTAAACATTAACGAGAATATTAACGATCCATAAGAGTTGTTGAGATCCCCTCCAATCTCACTGAAGTCAACAAGATGATTTTAACGCATGAAACGATCGAAACAGAGGTCGACTCCCATGAAGTGAGATTTGGATGACTTTTACAAAATTTCCACCAAACTCGTTGTTAAATGGTGGAAATAAATGAGATGCAATGTTCTACCGAATTTTACTTGACGAACGTGACTGTTAAAAATTTCTTAAATTACGATTAATCTCTTTAGAAGCGCAACAGTTAAAAATAATTAAACGGAGAGAATATATTATTGTTTGAAATGGCACAGTACAAAAATTTAACAATTGGATTCAAACATGTAATCAATTTTATAGCTTGCATATCTATAAAGGCTTCCCAAGGGTAGAATTTGCCCGTAGTAAGGTATGCCTGCCGTAAGAGGTTACTTAAATCTAACATGCACTTTGTCTGTAATTTTCTTGCCTCGAAATTACAGCATAGAAATAGTGATATAACACTCAGCTTGAACTGGTATTATAGAATTTGAAAGCGATTCCTACTAATAAAAAGACATTTGAAGTTCAAGCGACAAGTGTCGCCAGTGGTTGAGTTTGATGGGTGTTTAAATGGTAGTAGAAAAAGCTATAAGGTCTGACAGTAGACTTAAATCTGGTATCACGGGGAACAGTTAGCTCTTGCAATTCGCTCCAATCTGCTCTTTGAGAAATTATCAAATTTCATACTCTGAACAGAGCGTATTACGTGTGCCGCGATGTTTCTCATATCCAAAAGAAAACTTCAGAGACCCTATAAATAAGGTATACAGTTTATAAATTATCAGTATCACGAGCTGAGTCAGTTTGGACATTTCTGTCTGTTTGGCCATCTATAAACACATGAGATATCGATCTAAGACTTTAGGCATGTTCCTGCTCTCTAAGAAGTACTCATTTTTAGCAACTGCCGCTGTCCGCCCAATATAGCATATAGCTGTCATGCAATTCGAGCAATCGTACTCAAGTCCTTGTATGGAAAACCGTTTTATTGGAAAGGTATCGTGCCGAAATTCAGCACAGGTTATTATCTAATACATTACTACAATCCCCGAAGGTATTGTTTAGATAGGCATAGTAGCTGGCATGTAAACGGAGTGATCAAAATTAAGTTGAACATTTTTTCATACCCTTACATACTATAAAAAATTCACATGTGAAGGATAATATAGCTTTGGGAGAGCTGTAGTGAACTTTTACTTATTTTAGATAGCACAATCTCTCGAAAAAATCGTCCTAAAACAATCCTAAATCTTCCTAGAGTACACATTTAATGGATATACCAAATATATATTTACACAAAGTTCTTCCAACCACGCCAACAACCTTAAAGTCTGCCCTCACATACTCTTACGCATAAACTGCAGTTATTCACCCGACACTGTCTGCATGCATGCAAACTCGTGCCACAGTTGCATTGACATGCATATTGTCTGCATTATATACATACATATGTGTTGGTGCATGAATGCCGGCATATAATTTTTTGCCGTTAAATTGTGCAGAAAACTGAGCTGCAGTGAAAACCAAAAAGGAGCAAAAACGTTATATGGAAAATGTGCACGTTTCATAAAAGTTAGCACAATAAGCTGCAAGCTGCTTTTCACTTTCTACCAAACAAAGGTAAACACTGCTAATGCCACGCCAACATGAACGCGCGAGCGCCATACATATAACCTTCACAGTTATGCATTTTCGCTGCGCCTTTTCAAGTTTTTCATTACTCATATGCGAAATGAATGCAGAAAAAGAGAAACAAAAAGGAATAGCAAAATAAAAAAGAAATAGAAAAAAACTCAAAAAAATGCACAAAAAACACTTCTCAGTGTCTAATGTGTTGCCTACATTCGGGCGCAGACGAACGTGCGTTGTATTGTGCAAAGAATGCACATTGTTTAGCATCCGCCATTTAGTCTACAGGACCATATTCACTTTGTATTGCATTCGCTTGACAAATGTCAGCGGCAGTTACAGTTACACGCTGCATACGCTGTTGTTATGCACCGTTACATGATAACTACAACCATACAAAGTGTTTATAACTGGCTTCCGCCTAAAAGTATGCAAATATTAAAGTGTTTTCGTAAATTACTTATGACTGGTTCACCGGAATTTACTTCAAATTACAGTTATTCATGCTTCTGCCATCAATTATTTAATAATTTTAATATGATAAGTTGCTTACTCAAAACTGTTTAATAAATTTCACTACAGTTTATTTCTCTCAATATGTGCTCATTAAATATTTGAGTTTATTCAATCAATTACTCGACTTTATTTATACAACAATGAATTATTTATCGATGGTAATTTGTGTGCCAAAGTTTGCCTCCGG